GTCGGCCAGCTCCCATTAGTTCTGTCTTAGTGAGTTGATTCCAGCTGTGCCAGGTGGGAGGCACAGACTGCATCCTCCATACACGTGTATAGAGGATGTTTGCTCTTGGTTTTAAGCTTCTAGAAGAAGCTTTAGTCCCTCTTGTCTATAAAGGAAGGGCTCCCCTTCCTTGTAAGGGGTTCAAAAAAAAAAGAATTTTTGTCTAAAGTATACAAGACTTCTCCCTTTTATATCTCTACATCCAAGCTCAAAAAGTGCATGGTTCTTGCACCTTTGCATACCATCTCCCAAGCTAACCGCTCCACCATCACTCTAAGCATCTTGGAGGCCATTTTCAGAGGTTAAGAGGTTGTCTTTGTGGTCCAGAGGTTACTGGTCTTTTTGTGCTACAAGGGTAACACACTTTCTCCCTTTTAAAGCTTTATTTTGCTTCATCTTTTAGCTATACTTGCAAGCATATTTGAGCTTCGGTGTAAACTGAAAAAAATTCTTATTTTGAGGCCCTTAACATGTTTGTTTAAGATCATTTTTCTGTTGGGGGTCATCTACCCCCTTGCAAGCTTCATTTTACCTTGTTTTGAGCCATGCCTTAGAGCATTTGTGTTGGCCTTTGTTTGGCCTTCTAGCCGCTAAAATCCAGTGGATTTTCAGTGGCTAGCATGCTATTTTGAGTGCCAAAATCAGAGAAGGGTGACCCTCTCTCTCCTTGTTTTGTTTTCTAGCATTTTTGGCCTTACAAAGGAGCCCTTATTTGCATGCTTCCAAGCCATGTTTCAGGCCATTCAGAGCTTGTTTTTCCATATTGGATGTCCATCTTGCATGGGTAGAATAACCCTCTTCATAGCATATCAAAGAAGCATCTCATTCTTGCATGCATTAACCATGTTTCAGTGGGTTTTGGGGCTTTATTTGGCATGTCATACCTCTGACTTTTTCTGGTTTAGTGGCCTCTTGATTGCCTCACATGCTTGTAGTGCAAATCCTCTTTACTAGCTTACATTGCATGCTATTTTGGCCTTTGATTCTAGCACTTTTTGGCTATGCCTTAAATTGATTTTGTGTATGTTTTGGGCTGCCTTAGCTCTGTTTTTGGGCCTCATGGTTGAATGATGTTTGCTATGCATGGTTGTAGTTCAATACCCTTGCCTAGCTTTGAGTTTTGAAGCCTAGTGCATGCGTATTTTGAGGTGTTTCCATGTTTTGGCATCATTGTGAATCATATTTCGGAGCTTATATGTATGTCATATTCCCATGTTTTCCACTCTTTAAATGTGTTTGAGAGTTATGCATGAATACCTCATTTTTGAACCATTGCATGAGCTTCATTTCCATGCTTTGCGAGCCATCATTTTAGTCCATATTTGCTACTATTTTGGCCTGCATAGGGACTATTTGGGGTTGGTTTGGCCATTTGAGTATTGCTTTGCATGCCAATAGTGTAATCCACTTCACTAGTTTCGGTATTTAGGCCATCTAGCATGCATTGTGTGAGTTGTTTGCGTGATTCGGGACCATCTTGCATGTCATTTCAGAGATGAAAAATATGTGATTGTATGCATATTTCATGCTTACCATGCTTTGGTGGAGTTGCACTTTATGCCTTAGGTTTGGTCCCTTGCATTTGTGCATGTTTGCATGTACCTTGTTGCCTCATTTTCATCATATTGGCCACTGATTTGGGTGTGGCCGAGGCCCATCCATCTTGGTTTAAGTCTATCTTGCATTGTGTATGCCTTATAGTCCATGTTATCGCATGTTTGATCATTGCATTGCGTATGCCTCGTTCATAACATTGTGTATGTTAGTGCATTGTGTATGCATGCCATATAATCCATGTGCATTGAGTACGCCATTGATTAGTTCATAGCATTGTGTATGCCATTTGTATGCTTGCATATCATTCCGTGCATCTTCGCATCATTTAGTTGTATTGCATTTAGATCGCATGATAGAGTTGTATTTGTCCATACATTGTTTGTTGGTGTTTGGAGTAAGATTTAGTCCAAACACGGGAAACGAGGGACGTTTCGTACTCCAAGTGATGAAACGTGCCTCGATTTCCGGTCACCGACACTCTTGACCATCCATGATGGAGTTGTTGGTTTTAGTTGCTTATATGTGCATTCATGTCCCATTGAGTCATGCAATTTGACTCCTCGGCCATCATGTATCAGGATGCGTGATTGATGGCACGAGGATCGAGGACTACACTCCCCAGAGCTTATGTAATGACGGAGAGAGTGGTCGGGCACACATATGTTGAAAATACCTTGCATTCTCTCTCTCTTTCCTTTGTTGCAAAAAAAGCAAAAACCAAGAGAATGAACTGGTCGGCCGACCAGGTTTTTTGGCAGGCCGACCACCTTTTCTGGTCTTCAACACCAAGGGTGGTTGGCAGGTGTTCTCCCTTGCCTATAGCTGGTCGGCAGCCTTCCCACAGCTTCCCTGGGTGGAGTTTCATCTCTCTGAAGCCTCTTGCAACTTTCTGAAATCAATTGCAAACAAAGACGAGTCGGGACATCGTGATGGATTTCCCGACAAGGCGACTCGGGCATGCATGCATCCTTTATCATTCAAGGCAGAGCTGAGGCAATCCATTTCATGTAGCTTGCATGCTAGTTTATTTGCTTCCTTAGTTAAATTTGTTAATTAGCTAGTGTTGTGTAATAATTAGCTGTAATTCGTTATTCATCTGGGTTGTGTAATAATTAGTTTAATTAGCTTAGATTACCAGTTGGTTGTGTATTATTCATTCGGACCCTCCGAGGAGGACAAAGTTGTAATAAGTGTGCGTGTGTGTGCTGCATGTCTTCCAACCCCACGTCTTTCTCCCTTTTATTTACCAGCTTACGATGGTTAGTTTTAGGGCATGTTTCAATTAGCATCCTTATGCTTCGCATGTTTGCATTCATTCATCTGTCTTGCATGCACCGGGCTTGGCGCATCATACTAACTGCATTGTATTTCAATTCCGAGTTGAATACATGTTATCTGGAGCATCTCATATGCCATCTTAGAATAGCCGAGCCTATCTTAGTTGCATTTCGCATGTGTTGCATTAGCCATTCTTGCATGCATTAACCATGTTTCAGTGGGTTTTGGGGCTTTATTTGGCATGTCATACCTCTGACTTTTTCTGGTTTAGTGGCCTCTTGATTGCCTCACATGCTTGTAGTGCAAATCCTCTTTACTAGCTTACATTGCATGCTATTTTGGCCTTTGATCCTA